GGGGGGGGGGAGGAAGGGTGACGGGAGAGGGGTTGGGGTGTATGGGGGAGGAAGAAACACATAACGGTCAAACAAGGCGGAAAATACGCACCCGGCAGTGTGCTCGGGAAACGCCGGCCGAGAAACCAGGGTTGTCGGGGTGGGGGTGGGGATGGCGGGGGGACACAGATCTCAGACGTTTGGCGCCGCTCCCTTCCCCGATGGCACTCTGGAAGTACCCCTGCTGTACTGCGCCTGGTGCGGCTCACTGGAGCCTCCCCCCCCGGGGCGTCTACCGCAGCGGTGAGCAGTGAGGGGTGAGGGGGGCACCTCCTCCCAAGGGGGTGAGCTTCAGAGGGAAGGCAGAGGCTGACACGCGCAGAGTGGCCACGACAAATGTAACCGGACTTGGTCAGTGACCCTTAACAATCCCGGCTTCTATTAACACTCCCTCTACTCTTCCAAACTGAACATAAAACTTCCCCTACGCTGTCCCCATCCCCACCATCCAACACTCCCAGGGACAGGGACAGCACGGGGTTAGACACAGAGTAAAGCTCCCTCTACACTGTCCCGCCCATCAAACACTCCCAGGGACAGGGACAGCACGGGGTTAGATACAGAGTAAAGCTCCCTCTACACTGTCCCCCCATCAAACACTCCCAGGGACAGCACGGGGTTAGGGACAGAGTAAAGCTCCCTCTACACTGTCCCTCCCCATCACACACTCCCAGGGACAGGGACAGCACGGGGTTAGATACAGAGTAAAGCTTCCTCTACACTGTCCCCCCATCAAACACTCCCAGGGACAGCACGGGGTTAGGGACAGAGTAAAGCTCCCTCTACACTGTCCCTCCCCATCACACACTCCCGGGGACAGGGACAGCACCGGGTTAGGGACAGAGTAAACTGCAGGGGGTGAGTCTTGTAGCTGCCAATGTTTCCCATAACCTGATAAAAAGCAGTAAGTAGATGCCGGCCCCCGATAAACAGGGAGACATTGTGGATTACTGCTGTGCGGAGTGTTTAGTCGGTAAACATACCAGATACCGAACAGCACGTAGGATTGAACACCTACTCCTGAATCTGCATTGCAGTATTGATTTCAGCACCTTTGTGCCCTCACATGACACAAACTGAAACACTCTTCCATCATTGCAGGATAAACGGCCGCCAGCCGGGCACACAGACGCACGGCAAAACGGCCGCCA